GTAAAATGCATAATCTTGCACAAAGAGGGTTATAATTACAAAATTAATGCAAAGGAATGCGCCTACATATTGGGCGAGTATCCTTGAGATAAAGGTTTAACTGATATTCACCAAGTCGATTAGTGAGTCAAGGTTTTTCTTATAGTTTCTTAACGGATCTCAAAATGCTCGGATATTATTCCACCATCTCACGGCCAAACTGTTGCGTTTGAACCAACAACATGGTTCCTTGAGGCGTCAAAGTACTATTTCCCACATTTCAGATCCATGAACAATGCAGCGAAGCATTAGTAGTCTAATATTGCGCAACAGTCAGCCGGTATGTTGCGACAACAGTTCTGGGTGGGATTTCGCGATTTACTATAGGATTACGTTTGGTGTTTTCGGGAAGATAAACGAGGGTGACGTATCTGGTACATCCAAAAAACAACAGATAGTCCCATGCTTGGGCGGTGATTGTTGAGGAGCGACTGAAATGGACTGCTTTGACGCCGTTACAGCAATGGAGTAACGTAGTTTGTTGAGATGTAACCGATCGTTATTTTTTTTTGTTTGCCTTTGGCGATGAAAAATCATGTGAGGTTGTAATTTTAAGTAAAAATAAACCGATTTACGAATTATGCTTACACTCGAATTCTATTTCTCGTGGGGTTCCATTGTCTGGCCGAACCAAACGACATTGTGAAAGTAAATCCTAATCACCGGATCGTCGCAAAACTCAAAGCAATTTAATGTATCCTTTTGATACGGATTTTGGTCTAGCTAATGTTAATGGAATTGGGTAACCTGTCTACTGGTAGATCATCCCATAATCTCAATGCCCAGTACAAGACTGGCCGTAACAGACATGTTGATTAGATTAGAATGAGAAGCAGGTGTCTGAAGAGTCCGTTTATCAGTGTCAGTGTGCGGTATTTCGGTTTCAACCAATCATTGAAAATTACCATTTTCCTCTGGCCATTTTTAGATTCTTTATTTGGACAAAAGAGACTCCCGATGAGTTTTTGCGATGTTAATTGTTTTGAGTTATAACAATCATTTATTTCTCCATTGGACCAATCAAAAAAGTATTAAAGTCAAATAAGAACAAAGTCATACTATCCTGGAATGATAGAAGAGTGTTTGAAATTTGATATAGCCTTGGACCTCGAAATGGATTTTTTCCATTTTGCAATTTCAACTGGAGAGCAATGAACTTTAGAGAAAAATGACTAAGTATTACAACTTCTCGTTCAGAATATGCAAAACCTTCTACAAGAGCGAAATTGGAGTGAAAATGTTGATTTTTTGTGGTTGGTTGCTTTTGCAAAAACGGACCACTTTTCACAATCAACAAACATATTTTTATCAATTCTGAGCACGTCGTGCAGATGATAATGGAAATATTTTTCCATTGGAGCCGTCTAAAAGATGCAGACCTTAATCATTATAAATAAAGACGATCATTTAGTGTCATCTTCATTTCATAGCTTTAAGTGGTGGAAGCCGGGGTGTAGCACATTCTTAGGGTCTAGCGTCAGCCTGAAGCTTTTCTTATAGTATATGCTGTACCTTATTTAGTGTTGCTCGTTTCACTACAGGTACGATCTGTGTTTTCATATGCCACATTCTGCTGATCTCAATGGACCCTATACTTAAGAATCTTCTCAGATTCATTTTCCCACACAGGTGCCAATTTTGGTGTATTTAATTACTATATCTGGATTGTTTGCAGGCACTGTCCCGCTGTTGGTTCCACAAGATGGTTACTCTTTCAGATGATGTTACTTGCTGCGGGTCGTGCTCGTACCAATTTTTCTTAACAGCTATTCTGTTGTCTTTGACAGATGACGTAGTGCAAAGCTTCTGCAACTTTTTCGTGTCTTGTAACATACTTTCATTTGGCAAGTACAGGGCACGATGACATTGAATAACCAATAGTTTCGTCCCGGATTTTCTATGAGAAGTAGATGGTCGCTATGCGCTTGTGCTGCAATAATCAATCAAGCCTTCCGTTTCCCCTTTGGTCTGTGATTGTCACAGGACGCTGTTTTATGTGTATTATTACTATTAAATTATACATATAGTCAACGCCAAACAAAGTGGCGTGCACGTCATCAAGGTGGGTGTGTTGAAAAATTTACATTGTTGCCAAACTTTTTGTAAAATAATAAAATTTATTATTTACATATCTAGGTTTATAAGCAATATTAACCTCAAATGAGAACAAAAATAATAGTATAATAAAATTATAGATCTGTACTTGCATAATCATTAAGTATGACCATTATTGATCAGATGACACTATGAAACTACCATATTTAATTGATAGCTTAAAGGTACTGAATAAAAATCCAAATGGGGTCCTCCAAATTTTATGCATGGTATTTATTTTACAGAATTCATACAGAAAAATGCATTCTAAAATTAGGTAAGCTACTGGTGTAAGCTTTTTCTGTACAATAAAGTTAGTCGGAGTTTCTTTCTTCAGCGCTGTCTGAATCTGAATCTTCATCACTCTCAAAGTTGATTATTAAAGGTTCGATGTCTGGTCGATCAAAAATTCGTTCTCTTTCATACCATTTAAAAATTTCTTGCTCAGTATGTCGAACACTATTTTTCCACATGTCTGGGGTAACCGTTTGTAGAGCCTCGTTCCACATATCCAAACAGTCTTTTTCACTGTTACCATCTCTACCAATATGTCTGTTATAGTAACCTTTTGCTATGCCCCAAATTAACTCAATAGGGTTAAATATACAATGGTAAGGAGGCAGACGAAGAACTTTGTGCCCATGTTGTTCCGCCAATTCATCAATCACGTATATTTTAGGTGGTTTGTTTCTAAAAAAGCAGTTATTTTAAGAATAGGAATAAACAAAAGAAATATAAACTGTCGACCAAAATATATATAATTAAGAAGCATTATGTACCGAGCAACAATACTCAATAGCTCTGTTTTAAACATTGTGTTTAAAAATGGTATGTTTTGATTTGTCAACCAGTCTTGGATATTTTTTTTTGTCCATGCATTGTTGGGCACTTTGTTCAATATCATGCTGTGATAAGGGGCGTTATCCAGTATAATCATAGATGGACTCTCCAATTTTTCTAATAACTGATGTTGAAACCATTTCAAAAAATTGTCCTGGTTCATCTCTCCATGGTAATCGCTCAATTTTGTTTTCGAAGAAAATATCGCTTCACTACCCTCAATAAACCCATTTTCATTTCCAGCATGTAATATAATGTATCTAAAATATATTAGTTTTAAATTTTATAGTGCAAATTGTGCAAATTTTACCATCTGTTTTAATAGCTTTCACGCTTTTTTGGTTTCCATTTTGCCAAGAGCGACCTATGGTCCCATTTTGAAATATCCAAGTTTCATCGAGGAAGACAAACTGGTATAAGGCCTCAACCTTGGCATGATTGTATTGCCTTAGAAATTCCACCCTTTTCAAAGCTATACTTGGTAGTTCCATGAGCCCTCGTCGCGGATTGTCCTTAAGCCACTTAAATCCAAGATCTCTAAGCAACCGCCTTAAAGACGTGGCACTACCATCAAATAATGCCCTATCTCTTAATCGAGACCATAAAGTTTGTATCGTAACTTGTTCTTCTGAAACCATGTGTAATATGACATTATAATTTAGTTAACAAATTAATGCAAATTTCTGATAAGTTATTATAATAAGATCTTACTTTTGTGATACATATTATAGATCACTTCTCGAATGGCACTTGTATCCAATGTCGCTGTGTTGGTTACACGTTTAATATAACTCCGCCTTTTCTTGGGCGATTCTAAATTTGCATCACTTTTCACACCCTCGGAAATACGACTAACTGTCCTTAAACTAATTTTTAAAGCAGCAGCAACACGCTACAAAAAATAAAATAAAATTTCACTATTATTAATACACATTACATATAATTATTAGTAACCTACCTCTTGAACAGCATTTAAAGGCAACAAACGCCCGTTGTTGTCCCTTTCTTTCTCAAAGTAGTGCATTAACGAGGCCACGAGTTCCTTACACCGACTATTTAACTGTTTGGGCATCTTTATATACCAAAATTGCCTTTATCTACTCGTAAAATGAATAATTTTGTTTTGAAACAAACAGTTGTTGATTTACAGTATGCGGGGCCAAAGGATTTATAAAGATTTGAAATGCCACAAATTGATTCAGTGTCAAAATTAATACAAATGTCAGTTCCCAGTTTAAATAAGTTTCAAGGTGACAATGTGTCAACGCTGCGAAATCGGTTTAGTGCGTTTACATGTCGATAAGTGATTGGAGCGTTTGCAAAACATTTTATTTCGCATAATGCGTCTAAATTTATCAGAAAGCAACTTATGTGATATTTTAATAACAATGTTTATATGACTATTAACCATAATAAGAGAGTAATGACCATTTTACAATTTATATATCACATTAATTTGAAACTGCAATAGAGCAATTGTTTGTGATAGAAACCTAGGCATTAGGTCGGGGAATTTTTATCGTGATGACGTGCACGCCACTTTGTTTGGCGTTGACTATATGTGTGCATAATCAATCACATGATGGAACAGATTCACCAAACAAAACAATCAATATGACATATGAGTTTTGCTAAGTTATTCAGAAAAAATATTTGCATACCCACACAAACTACTGTATCGATAAGTGCAGTCGGTAACAAAACAAACAGCAAACACCTCATATTTATTCCAACCAAACATAAACACGATTCATTGGCTCAATTAGTGACTTTATGACTCGTCGGGCATCATCATCCTCAAACATACATTATTTACTGAACACTTATGCTAACACAGCTAATGGTTAACAGGTGTGTACCTAAGTGTAATGATTACTTGTCGTCGGCACGTAAATTTTGTCGTCTGTGCTGCTTGTTGATTGAATTTCCTATGTACTCGCCGCTTTGCCAGTTCGCCGCTAGACGGCGCAGCAAACAGAAATTTAATTAGCATTATCTTATAAAAGTTCTCTGGAGCGTGGAGTATGCGGTAAGTGGTCTTGGCTTTGGAAAGTGCCGAGTGTGCTTGAGAGTAAGTAATCTTAAATTAAAGTTCATACAAGGTGGTTAGGAGCCGCCAAAGAAATGCTAGTTTTAGCTAAGCTCACGTTTTGTATGTAGTAGAAATCAGTGTGAAAAGTTTGAAGTGTGCATGTAATTGACCTGTTTATGTTATTATGTATGTGAGGGACAATCCGTGAAACTGAATTTTGAACCTTAACCAATTGAGCTGAAATTTTGTACACTTGTTTAGTTGCCATGGCAATACACAATGAATATGCCGCAATTTTGAATCCAATCTGGCGGATACTGGAAATAATGATTTATCATTCCCATAGTAACCATAACCACAACCCTATGATATTGATGTCAAATGAGAGGGCTGATGAAAGAAGCACAATAAGCGAAGTGGCGCCATTTTAAATCTAATAAGGCTACCGCCACAAAATAACGGTTCATCATTTACACAGTAACCCCTACGCTATGAGTTTCTAAGGGAAAGACTCGATGAACGAAGCACAATAAGTGAATATCGACGTTCTAAATCCAACAGAGCGGACGTCTGATATGACAATGCAATATTATTATGGCAGGTCTTCATGATGGAGGCGGAAGGTGTAAATGAGAACTCTGAAATAAAACGATGCAGTAAGCCCATCCTATTGGACTTCGTTTGATTCCTCTTGACAAATACTCCTGTCATTCAAGCAGTGGCGTATAATTCGAAATGCTGATCAGCCTCTGCGTAATTTTAAGTGAACTAGTAAGTTCTTGATTCATACTGAAATTTGCAAAGCAATAAATAGCTAATTCGCATGTTCCAAGTATAGGACTTGGGATGCTTTGAAAGTGAGAGGTACCAACCAATTTTGATATGGGCACCTCAGTAGTAAGCTACGTCACTCTTTGGATTGATGAAATTCGCAGTTCGATTCTAACTAAAATAAATGGGGAAAAATACAGTGTTTTTTACGTTCATTTTTATATTCGAACAACTTGTTATTCGTTATTTGTTCTAAAAACATATCTTGGTTCATCCGTCTCTAAGGTTTTCTGAGAACTATATATAAGCTGTGATTAACGAATTGTACTAGAAAACAGCCAACTACATACATACTTATTCTGTATTCCGGCAAAAATGGATCTGAGAAATCCTAGTGCCATCTATTCCAGAGTGGCAGAATACATGAACAAGCGAATTTAGAGCTAGATCTACTTCGAAAAGAGATAGAGTATCTTCAAGTGGAATACCTTAAGCAATGCCTAAAGATACCTAAGCAGAATAGAGGTGCAAACAAGGCAATTAAGATCGTAGCACCATCTGCGAAACAGTAGCAGAACAACACTCTAACTCTTATCAAAAAATAGATTTATTTCTGAATTCATTTTTGTATTCTACTACTGTTTCATAGAACATAGAAGGTACTTAGAATCTGTCATATCCCATTTTCGACGCCGATATACAGAATATAGTTGGCTATCTTCAGGCAGATTACGACGATCAATGATATAACGTATTATCGTTCAAATAGTATGTTCGATCCAGTATTCAAGCCCTTGTTTGAACTTTGATTCGAAATGCGACGATTTATTGATCGTATGCCTGGAAATAATATTAATTAAAAGTGGTGATGACCTAAACAGTTATCTTAGAATAACAGTTATAATAGTTATCGTTGTCCAACGACAACCGTTATTCTTAGCAGTTATTCAGTTAGGTAGGTAAGGTCGAACGCCCTTAGAATATGACCGCTACGTCCATCGTGGGCGGGGTCCGCTTATCACGCTGTCGACGACAGAGCGCAATGGCGTTCTATTTATTTGAAGTATAAATAAGTGAAGGTTGTGTAGACATTTGATCATAATTGATTTTTATATTATTATATTCATTTAGTATGCGCATTACGTTGTTCGGAAGCAAATTTGAATTAGAAGAGGAGCAAACTAAAGACGGTTATAATTCAATATATATTATCATTAAAAATCAATCGCTTATCAGATGATAGTGTGTTTAGCTTCAAATCTTCATCTGAGTCGCTTTCGTCACTATCTTCTGATGATGACCCTGTGTTCACATTGAATTGATACTTATCCATTTGATCTTCGAGAAGATGTATCTTTTTCCATTTGTGCTTGCTCATATTTTTTCACGTGGTTACAAATTTTCTTCCACTCATCTGCTCCAATTTCTTCAAACCTGCTACGGGTCAGATGCTCCACATCAGACAACCTAAATGTCACATTTCGTGGAGCAACCCAGTTTTTTACGAGAGCCCAAATCTTCTCGATTGGGTTTAGCTCCGGATGATATGGAGGCAGTCGTAAAACTTTATGCCCGTGCTGTTCCATTAAGGCATCTAGCTTGTATTTGACTGGAAATCTTCTTTTATTTTCCTGTATTTTTTTATATAGTTCGGCCTTAGTCAATGAGTTTTCACTAGGAATTTGATGTTTTTCTAGCCAGTCAATCATCTCTGATTTCAGGCTAGAAGACGTTACATTTTTTTCTTCCAGGACATTGTGATAAGAAGCGTTGTCAACTACAAGCACAGAATTTTCAGGCAAATTTGGGATCAATTGGCTTTCTACCCATTTCATGAAGTTCAAATGATTCATGTCGTTGTGGTAGTCCCAGATTTTGAGCCTGAAAATAAAATACATACATATAATCCAGTAAATGTAAAAATATATTGGAAATATTTTATATCATTGTAACACAAATAATACCTGATTTAAATATCAACAAGGCGTTAGGAATAAAGCCGAATTCTCCACCAGCATGCACAATAATCATTCGTTGTCCAGCTCTATATTTCATAATTTGCTTCAGATATTCGATACGCTTCAAGCGAATTTCATATTTTTCCATGAGAGCTTTTTTATTATCAGTAGTTCTTTTCCATCTGTAGATATAAATTATATTTATAGCGTTGTAAATCGAAAACCTTATAGTGTGTATGAATACTGTCCTAAAGCCCATTTGTTTCAAAAGTTTGTTCAAAGTCGTTATTTTACCCTCAAAATTAAGTTGTCGATCTTGCATTTTTTGGTAAATACCTAAAAAATCTTAAAATGAAATATGACTAGATGCTACGGTTACAATTTAAAAACTTACATTTCAGCGAAGGTCTTCTTTTCTCCAAAATATAAAAATCGTATATGATTGCTTTCATTTCTTCAATTTGGCCTGCAGTCACTTTATCCACAACAGGTGATTTTCGTTGCCGCATTTTAGATGGGGATGAAAATGAAAAGTTGCTTGAATATATTCCATCTCTGCTCTCTTTAGCTATTTTTTGATAAGTACATTTACTTATACCCGTGGCAGCTAACACACGTTTCCTAAATGGGTCAATCAGTTTTAATTGACAATAATTATAAAAATCTTTTACATTCATACATACCGGTATTGTTGAAGTGGAAACTTTAATCCCTCTACACTTTCCTGTACCATGAAGTTATTGACATTGTTGATAATTTCCTTTCCTTGACTCCCAATCGCCTTTCCTTTCACGCCAATCTCTTTCACATACATTGTTTAGATCACTGGTTCAAAACTATTAATAATTTAAATTTGAACAATAGTAAAAATTTCCACTATATTGCAATCTATTTGACAATTTTTACACACACTTGTTCAAATTAGTTCACAAACTGAACTTATGACTATCGGACAGGTTTATATATATGTTGCAGGTAAAATAAATGTGATTGATTAACACTCATCGTCTTAACGCTACTTACGAACGAAGGGATTTAGCAACCGGGAATTATTCCAGGTAGTTCAATTTTACACTTGCTATTATTAGATTTGTTTCTACTAATTTTGTTTACCTAGGCTTGATATTGGTATTAGCCTATTTATCTAGGTACTAATGATGCACTCTAGGAAATCTCATGATTGGTATAGATATAAGCGGATCACAGTCTTAGGATTAATTTAATTTCTTTCAGTTGTTTGCCAACTTTGGGGTTTTACCCTTCAATATTGTGTCTATTATATGTAGGTACCTGCTCACTATTTTAAATTTTGATTTATGGATCTCCATCAAATATCCACAAACCCCATAAGATTAATAATTTTCAACACAATCAAATATAAAATATGATATGGTTAATAAATAAAAAAATAAATAAGACGAAGAAACGTCTCATCAGATCCCAATTGTGTCAACAATCTCAACTGACTGAAACTTGCGTATCTACATACTAAAAAACGTTCCGCCTATGGCTTTCTGAGAGTGGGATGTCCCTTAACAGCGTCAACAGCAACATAATTTCTGGACATTGAAGACCACATACATTTTTAAGCTTTCTACGATATAAATATTCGCCACGATTAGAACTGGACCACATTAAGAGGGCGGTAACAGATGTCCATAAATCTTACCAGAGACTGTCACAACAATTTTCTATATTCTTATAGGGTACAATCGACGCAAGGGAGAGGGTATAAAGTGATGACGTAGCGGGCATAACCTTAGGCTGTTCGAACTCTACTGGAAATTACGTACCTATCTAAAACTCTTCACTTCACGTGCTTAAATCATTGCACTACAGAGAGGTCAATATAAAAATCTGCACTTGGTTCCTTTAGTACCCTCTCCTGATACGATAAAATTGTACCTACGTCAGATGTGCAGCTTTTTTTAGAATTGTTCAATATTCGCGCTTTATGTTAAATTCACAGTCAAATATATTTATTGTACTTACTTTTGCAATTCCATTGTTCAAACTTTGTCGGTAAGGGTGAGTAAAAAATAATGAATTACGTAAGTACCTCGAGAAAGATACACATATATTTCTCTGGTAGAATCTGTGATCGAAAGGTTCGTTAAAATAACGGACTATTGTCACATAGAAGTTTTCAATATTTTATATTTTGTTTGACCGTTATTCTTATCATCAAATGATAAGTTTAGTTAGTATTTATGTTAACGGCTAATCGGTGAGCCGCCACCAGTTCAAAATGGGAACCAAATTAACAGCGTAGTCGGTAACTGGTAACCGTTTAATGCCGCAGCGAATATT